GTATAAACATTCGTCTACATTTATATTTTATAATATTTAATAGTGCAACACATACATTTATATATTGTAATATTTAAAAGTTCAACACATAAATAAAATTATAAACAAATATTAAGTGTTTGAAGCAATTATTTTACACAATATAAAACTGGAGAGATACGCCGAGGCGAATGCGGAATTGTTGTCAGCTGAGACAGACGACGATTATCAGGATGACCGAAAAGAAAAGTAGTATTACTGCGGCAGGGCCATTCTGAATGTAGCGCGTCATATTAGTGCGGTAAAAATATTTTAATTTTTAAAATCTAAATAATTGTGAATTAAACTTTAAACCAACCATTTGACCGCAGATTGAGCATCAAGAATAAAATTTGTTGTATACACCGCAGTAATCAAACCCGCGCTATTAAACGGTTGTGTAGCCTTTGGTAAAACCCCCAATTCTATAATAGAACAAATACAAAGATGCCAGAATAAAACTCTAAGAAAAATACCTATAGATAAAAAAGACCTGTAGATAAAATCAGTTAAGCAGTACATCCGAGATAAAGCATTAAAACTCTTTATAAAGATCGATACCCACACAAACCCCACACTCTCATCTCTCCAAAGACAAAGCATTCAAACCGAAGGAAGATATGCTGATCTTAGAACACTTACGCATTAAGATAAAGTAACAAAACAGTCACCAAGGATAGTGAAACACACCTATTAGTGTTCACCTATAATTAGAACTGTAGGTACTAACAGATATCAATCTTTAGTAATCTATCAAGCTATTTTATATAAAATGATGTAAGAAGTTTTAGTTCGGAGACAATACCTTCCTGCAGTATAGTTGACCTGTAATAATGATTTCCACTCAAATAATGTTTATACGTACAGGGAAAAATTGCAATATTGGTATGAAGAATACAGTCCAGGTAGAAGATGAATTAGATGAAGAAAATGAAGATAAAAGAATCACACAAAAAATTTAATTAGTCAGTAGAACCAAAATAATTATTAGGACTGTTGCGCCAGGTAAATATTATCACTTTGTTGGTGACGAAGAGTTATGAAAATTTAAAGGATTACCACAATATGAAGTGGTACTAAATATAAATGTCGATGGCTTGACATTTTTTAGAAGTTCAAAGCTATTATTGTGACTTATTCTTACACAAGGAGATAATTTTGAAACAGCAAGTATTTTTATCGTAGGAGTATATGATAGCAAAACTATACCTATTCGAATAAAATTATTTATATGCGATGTTCCTATACTTGCGTTCCTAATGAGCAGCGTACGATATACAACATTTAACACGTCAAAGCACATCGACAGCAGAGTGAAAAAGGCAAATGGCTCTTTCGCGTGGCTTAACAAAGTCTAAAAGCCAAAAATGTAAGCATCGAAACTAAGATCAGAATATTCAACGCCTGCGTAAAATCGACATTATTACATGAGTGCGAAACATGGTCGCTAACGAATGCGTCGACTCAAAAGATATAAACTTTCCTAATAGAAGCTTGCGGCGTATTATGAACATATGATGGCCTGCAATAGTCTCCAACGAAGACCTATGGCAGCGCATCAAACAAAAGCTAATAGAGAAAGAAATTCAGAAACGTAAATATGGAAGGCCCGGCCACATACTTAGAAAGCCGACAGATGCAATTGCCCACGCGGTCATGGAATGGAACCCGCAAGGAGTAACGAGATGAGGTCGTCCCAAAACCACTTGGCGAAGAACAGTGGCAACCGAAACAAAAAAAAAAGCCTTTAATCAGTTACGTTTTGCTGCCAAAAATAGAGACGAAGGGAGGAATTTTATAACAACTATTTGTGAATAGATTAAGTTCTAAATTTAATTTTTTTTTAATGAAGAACATGTCATAATAATAATAATAATAAGCTTTTATAAGTTATACATTGAAAATAATCCACATTCTCTGGAAAGTATCGGATTTGGTATGATATCTCAATTTCCATTGCATCCAATGCATCTTTTACACTTATGTATTAAGAAGAACACCATTTTCAGCTGTACTAGAGGGTACTTTGTTGGAAAAACAACATCCATTGGTTGGAAGTATGCCTTCAGAAGCTCCACGTAGAACAACTTCGGAAAATTAGTGGGTCATCGTAAGATTCTTGATCTCGTCCAGGCCGCGGTCAAGGAAACGCAGATGCCATTGGAGACTATGAGGAGGGTTTATGGGACAGAAGTGTCCTACAGAACACTGATAGTAGACGGCCTTCTACATAATGTATGTGGAAGGAATGACATTTGCATATTTACCGATGGCTCCTTAATGGATGGCAGAGCTGGTGCTGGGGTTTACTCGAAAGAGCTAAATCTAACGTGCACTCTACATCTAGGAATATATGTTTCCGTCTATCAAGCGGAACTTATGGCGGTCTCACATGCTCTGGATCACCTATTGGATTGTCAGGTATATCAGAAAAAGATTCTGATAGCGCTGGACAACCAAGCAGTTATCAAAAGCATGCAAAAGACATACATAACTAACAGCTTAGTACAAGAATGTGTAACGAAGCTCATGGAATGTGCTCATGGAAATGAGATGACGATCATGTGGGTTAAAGGACACATCGGTATTAAGCAAAACGAGAAGGCAGATGAACTTGCAAAGCAAGGATCAAGCCATAATTTCTGTGGCCCGGAGCCCAGAATACCATTGGGGTACAGCATGACGGCAGCCTATGTCAATAAGTGGATAATCTCACTTCATCTTAATAGATGGAGAGAGTTGAGCACTTGTAGACAGACCAAACTCATGTTACCTAAACCGTGGGCCAGGGAACCGATAAAAGTGCTTAGCTATTCGCGGAGCACTCTAAGCTGGCTGACCTCACTAATTACTGGACATGGCAACTTCAAGTATCACCTCAAAAAGATAACTCTTGCTGAGGAAGACACTTGCAGACTATGTCTAGAAGAAAAGGAGACAGCGGTGCATATATTGTGCCAATGTCCAGCACTGGCAAGTAGGAGGAAGACTGTCTTGGGACACCATTGGGTTGGTGACGACTTGGCAGGAAACCTCAAGCTAAATGAGATGCTTGCATTAACAAAAGATGTAGTTATGCGAACGGAAGCCACTCCAGCTTTAACTCAATAACAACATCCAAGAATCGAAGGACGAAAAAGGACCCAAGTCGTTTCGTGGTCTACTTCGACTAGTCCTTCACTTCAGTGAGGCCACTTGTTGGACAGTGCGCTGTCCCAACGTCCCACCATATATATATGCCTTCAGAATTTGCCAGAAAACCAAGAAATTTGGAAGACTTTAAAAAGTTGAAAGCGACTGAGCTGAGAACAATTACATTGTACACCGGAATTATATTTTTTAAAAATATTCTCAGTGATAACGTATGTTATCATTTTTTTTTATTCAGTTGGGCGTATCGTATGCTATCTTGCCCACAAATGTACATGTTCAATCTAGATAATATACAGATTATGCTACAAGATTTTGAAATTTTTTTCTCAAAACTTTATGGAGTGGAAAGTGTAACATACAATGTACACAATATGTTGTATTTAACACAAGGTGAAGAGAAAATGGGTTCTTAAATAATTTCTCCTTAGAATTGTAGAATTTGTAATTGCACAATTAAATAAAGGCGTAATAATTAAAATGTATTTACTATTCTAAGGAAGAGATACTATGAAATCCAAAAAAAAAGTTTCGGTGTGGCTCATGGCATTGCAAAGACAGATGGTGAAGGTAATCTAGTGCTTATACATTTTGTAATACTTATTTTGGAAATTTTCTGATGCGGAATGAAAACCCGTAGCATTTGCTTTGAGAAGCCTTGCTGATATTGAAATCAATTATGCAGAAGTGGAAAAATTGCTGGCAGAGATTTTTTATGCACGCCATAAGTTTCATTATTATATTTATGGTGGACGAATTCAAGTAGGAAGAGAACTTAAACCGTTAGTCGAAAGAATGCAAAAAAGCTTTTATAAAATTCCACATGCTCTAGTTAAATATATATAATAGCCGATTTTGTACCCCAATATTATGATAAAAATAAAAAGAAAATACTACACAAATTAAAGATTTACAGGAATTTATGCATATCATAAACATATCAGAAGGTTGTCTACAATTATTTAGAAAGGAATCAGAAACAGATATATTCCTCAGTGTAGGTTCGCCAAAAAACAAGCAAAAAAAATAGAGTGCCTGAAGATTTACTGGTAAAAGCGAAGCAACATATCAATCGAATGTATGATATCATGACAGTTTATAGAATTGAGTTAAGGCAGAAATTGAAGATGCGCATCCATTCTCATTGGATAGTACTATTCTGCGATGGAACTCAAAATGTCTAAATAAGTCCTTTCATATTATAAATTTTAATATAAATCTAATAAGTAAACGAAATGTATTTTTATATTTTGAATTATATTAATTAAAACTTTATTGTCAGCTTAAAGAGGGAGATATTGTATAAACATGTACATACATATGGTACTTATATGTAGGTGCATGTGTACGCACTCCTATAGTAACATTTGTATTTTATTTAATAGTCAGTAGATATTGAATCGCTCAACGAATAACACAACAGTACAGCTAACATTCGAAAACAAGAACAAAAAACATGTATTGATATTACGTGGTCGAAACTGAACATTGTCCATTACTATCAGTTCAAAGATGTCAAGCAATGGACATTATTAAATATGCAGGAATATGAAAGAAGATATCAACAATAGAAATAAACTTGCCATTATAAACAAATCCAAAGAGATATTCGAAGAACTAGGAAAAATTAATGATAAAATTTCACCTAAAATAGACCAAAACATAACAATAGCTCTTAGAAGTATAGATTTAATATTATTAATTATGTTGCTTAAGTTATGTATATAAACTAACTTAGAAATAAAAAGCCAAGGCAGTTTTTTATTACTTTCACATAAATCGTTAACAACAAAAATAAAATCAAAAAAAGTTAACTAGAAATTCTTTTAATATATGCATTTCAATATGAACTTTAGTGCTGAAAAGTTGTAGAAAGCATTTACGAGTTCTGGAATGATTAAGTCTATGATAAGACAAAATTGGCATGCAATTTAATGGCAGCCTAAGTCCTATCACAAAAATAATTATAAATCTATCATAATGAAAGCACAACTTATGTTCTTCAAATCAACGCTGATCGATGTTCACGAGCAAGAATAAAAAAATAAATATTGATGGAATATAGAATGTACTTGACTTTAAATTTTTCTGACTTATAAACTTATATATTAGAATTTTTTTAACGAATGATTCTCACTTTTAATGTTCTTGTACTTTGAATATTTAGCATATAAAACTATTATTTTTTTTCAGTGTTAAGGTGTCGCATTAAATAACCAGCATTAAATTACATACATAGATAGATTTTTAAAACCTACAAATAGTTACTGACTGAATAGCTTATAGCTAAGCGTTATAATTTTAATATATAGTATACAAGCCTGTATCCTGACTGTGTTGCAAACGATGATTAATAAATAAGTGATGAGTAAATCAATTGGAAGCAATTTTGTGTTTATATTGTGTTGCAAACGATACTTAGTAAATAAGTGATGAGTAAATCAACTGGAAGCAATTTTGTGTTTAAATAATTCGCAAACGATTGTTATCTGGCAACTATAATTTTTGAATAACTGTTGAGTAAATCAATTTAAAGCAACTGTTTTTAAAAGAACAATCTGTAAAATAAAAAAACTGTTTTAAAAATGTATCCTCGTATTAATATTATAAAATGTTATTAATACTTTTTTGATTATACCTTTGCGTTATCCATATTAAACAATCTTTAGGTATTCATACAATACAATTACTAGAACCTGTCAAGCTCTGTGACGAATAGAAAGGTAATGATAGTATTTAATATTTAAAAAATAATTTAAAAAATACTTACATCTGGAACCGGATGGTATTGTATTACTACTGGCATGTCGCTTAAATTTCGAGACATCGGTGGTTGTGGTAATACTTTTATGCCCCGTTTGTCTTGATACTGCAGGATTTGAGTACTGCACTATTGTTGGGGATATTTTTGTACTTTTCACATTTTTTGATGTCTTCTGAGGTATTGTTAAGGAACTGGCTTCAGTCGGCATAGATTTATATCGTTGTAAAGAGTTACGTGGCTTTTTTGCTTGGATAGCTTGCTCAATGACATCGTCTAACGATGTGAACCAGTCATCAGGTGAATCATCCTCCAAAAATTTCTCATATAATGATGATCGTTTTTCAATGGAAGTAGAGGTTTTATTTGCTTCTGATGCTAAATCTCTTAGTTCAGTGCAGTTACTTATAACACATCCAACAACACTATCTGTGCCTGTAACTGGAAGATGTATTTTAGATTCTATTTGCTGTGTTGCTTCGAGAAGAAATCCATCCGAATCTGAATCATTAAAAAAATCATTCAACGTGCTATTAGCCACATTTGGTGACATATCACCATGTTTCGAAGTTATTGTTGCGCTCTCTTTTAACGTTTCTGTTGGCATATCTACTAGCAGTTCTGTTGGAATTTCCATTGAACTATCAAAAACACTCGTCATGTCTGGAGAAGTTTTGGTGGCAATTTCCGAACTGCTATCAACATCTAATATTTTCGGTAATTTTGCTTCTTTGAGTTTTTCTTTTAATTTTGCGTAACGTTTTTGTAGTACTTGTTTTGCACGAGATTTTTCTGCCCGATGTATATCAAATTCGATAGCTTTACGATATTGCTCACGTCGATTGCTGATGAGTTTTCTTTTCTTCGACGAGTTAGAGTTATCAAATGCGCACGGTGAGTCTCCATTAGCATAACTGCTATCGTCACCACCACCACTTTCAGTAAAATTAGATTTTTGGCGCGCCCAACGCCAACCAACTTCTGGACTTTCAGTTGGTAAAGTTTGCGAAAATAGACTATTTGGTGAAAAACTTGTATCAAGTGCTTTTTGACTGCTATCCAGTGTATCGTCTAAGCTAATTCTTTTGTGTGTTGGTGGTGTAAAACACTCGGCAGGACAAGAACGAGTCGGCAATACTGGCGAACATGGCAATTTAACACATTCCATGTTTGAGAATGTGTTTTTGGCATGATTATTGTTTTGTGGTGATGCGGAATCTATAATTTGTTTTTATCAGTGAATTATTTTAATTGTTCACAATTATATATTCAATTTTATTATAATATTTTATCACAACTTACCATAACTGTTCCTTTTAATACGACAGTTTTGTAACGAAAGAGAACGTTTTTTCAATTTTGGTGTTAACTCCATGATTTCTAATTTAAAAATAATAAATTGTTTGAAAATTAGCTGTAAATTGATTTTAATTTTTATTTACGAAATCCTATCCATGTACTACAGATTTAAAATACAAATACTGCGGCATTAACACCACCAGATAAAATATGCAACTAGTGTGCCATTGTTCAGAATACAGAGTTGCTTTCGAATAAATAAAAAAGTAAAATTTTAATACTTTTTTAAATAAGTTGTTTTTGAGTAATAATGGAAATATATAATACTATATTATAAATTATAATATATACCTAATAATAAATTACAATTCATAAAAAATAACAAATAATAATAAATAAATAATAGTAAATTACAAATAATAATAAATAAATAATATATTAAAATTAATAATAATTAAATAATAATAAATTACAATTAATAATAAATAAATAATAATATACTACATATAATAATAAATATATTATAATAAGTAAATAATAATAAATAAATAATAATATACTACATATAATAATAAATATGTTATAATAAGTAAATAATAATAAATAAATAATATTAATTATATAATAAGTAAATCAAATTAAATAATGAGGTAAAAATAAATAAATAATAATAAATAAATAATAATAATAATAATAATAATAATAAATAAATAATAATAATAATAATAATAATAATAATAATAATAATAATAAATAAATAATAATAATAAATAAATAATAAGGAAATAACAATAAGCAAATAACAATAACAAGTAATAATATATTATAAATAATAACAAATAAAATTAAATAACGATTAATATTTGTTAATAATTATAAGTAAATTTAAGATAATAACAAAAAATATAAAATAACAACAAATCACAAATAGTAATAAATAAATAATAATAAATAAATAATAATAAATTACTTATAATAATAAATAAATAATAATAAATTACATATAATAAGTAAATAATTATATATATTAACAAACAAATTACAATAAATATATATTAATAAATAAATAATAATATATGTATTTATACATACTTTTAAATACATATACTTTGAGTGGAACGCATGCCGGTTTCTGCATTAAGCGGTTACTCCGTTTAAAATTTGCGACGACCGTATACGAATGTGATGACGTATGTCATACATATACATTTGCATGTATATAATTCATGAGTGGCCAGATTCGATGTCTCGGTTAATATACATAATTTGCGAAAGACGCCGTTTTATGCATTTTGTACCGCTATTCCGTTACTATGTACATATACTATACTATGTACATATACTATACTATGTACATATACTATACTATGTACATATAGCTGTAATGCAGTTGGATATATATATATATATATATGTATAAATATATTTTCATGTTTGTATGATATATATAATTAACTGCATGTAAAATTTAGCAAAATCAAACATTTCTGACTCCACAAACAGTTTCGTTATCCCGAATAGCGCCACTAAATGTACAATATGGCGTCTTTCGCAAATTATGCATATCAACCGAGATGCCGAATCAGGCGTCGCATGCGAATTATATACATGCATATGTATATGTATGCATTTCTATTTTTGTGATAACTATATGAAATTGTATTATTTATATATACATATATATATATATATATATATATAATGTATATGTACATAAATGACGACATCAGACTCGTTAACGCTCGTTGTAAATTATAACGGGATAACGGCACTAATTGCAGAAACCGGCGTGCAGTTTCAAAGTATATAAATATTACTTATTTTGATATATATACTAATTATTATTTACTTTTTATTTTTATATACATATGTATTTAGTATTTTATTTCTTAAAATTTATAAATAAGTTTTTAAATACATATTTATATTATTCATATAGGAATATGTGTTGTATTTTATATTATATATTATTATTTATGTTATATTATACATAAAACCATCCTAATATTTTAATAAAAATTTAATCAGTATTACAATTTTTATTTACCAAGAATCATTTAATATTTATATGAACTTACCTGGAATTTGATTCTTACACCGTTTTAAACAGTAACTACCGCGCACACGAAAACTCACCCGCACTATTTAACTGCATTTCAAATAATCACGAGTTCTAGTTACGTACTATTTGACATTTTGTATATGACAATTCGAAAGAAGGGGAAACAAGTTTGACATATAACACTTGATTAAGGTGCCCATTTTGTGAAAACTGTTTGAATTCCTACATAAACCATATAAAGGTGCCCATTATGTAAAAAATATATAGCTCCACTTTTATTTTAAATTAATTTATTATGCTATATCTATAAATTAGTTTAAAAAACGATAATAAATAATTTAATACCACACCATTTGTATAAATATTTGCATAAATTGTATATGAATGATATTGATTCCAATTCCATTAAAAAGAATATTAACTAAATTATGAGCTAATATAAATAAAAACTTATTTGTATTAGGTGCTTTTGGCAGATTTTAAGAGTTGCAAAATATAGCAAGTTGCTTACTATAGACGCTAAGTGAGATATTGGCATCACTGTTGCAATCTGTCAGATGTAGTTTTCGCAAAGAGCAAATCTTGCATGTGCGGACATAATACAAGCAAATTACATTCTGCATGAAAAGATATAATAAAGCTAAAATGAAAAATTCAAAAGGAATATGTAAATATGTTTAGAGTGCAGGATATTAATAACAGTTTTGAATAATTATGTTTGAATAAGTATTAAGGTAGTGTTGTTGTTTTGCGTACATTTTATCAACTTTAAGCAAATTCAGCACCTTGCAGTTTTTTGCAAAACTTAAAATCTACCGAAGGCACCCATATAAAATGGCAATAATTTCAGCCGTGCGCGAATTCGAGTAAATTGATGAAAAATTAAAGAAAATAATAAATTATGTCGGTATGGCAGCGAATGTTGGTATTTACCAAAATTTCGAGTAGGGTTAATAAGATAAAAATTAGTTAAATTAGGTATTACCATTGTGAAAATTTTATAAGATGTTTAATAAATAAATAAATAAATTAATTTAAAAAGTTTTGACCAAAAATAATAAATAAGTGCAATAAATAAATAAGAATATATTTACATAAGCGCATTGCAAGCAATCCTTACAAAATTTCAATTTACATTATCTCAATTTACTCGAACTCGCACACGGCCTTCATTGTCAGTTTATATAACTTTTGGTTCACCAAAATATTTATACCATGGAATAAAGACAACAATTGCTTAATCTGTGTAGTTATCGTTGCATATTTCATATAAAAATATGCTAATGTGTTTTAATAATTTTAAGTGTAAATGCAATATAAATTTATTATGTTTGAGAATCTTTTGTCTGCTAATATAGTACATTCAAGTAGTTGCACAATTCTATTACGTGTTCATTTTGTTTACTTATGTCAAATAATGAATGTATGGTCACTCTAATTGTCAAATGACTTGGACCAATCAGAAAGCGCCATTTGGTTTTTGCTCTCTTGCATTGATGAAAAAGAGTGGCAGAATTAATTTCATACTAAAAGTTGTTGGCTGGGTTTATTTTGCAATTGAACGTTGGCGAAAAAGTGCAGTTTGGAAAAACCGTAATAAAAGTAACAACGTGGATTCCTGTAAAAAATTTAATTAAAGTATATATAATATTTTAATTGAATTGGAAACAACTAAAATAATTATTAAGGATGAAATATTTCTTACTAATTGGGCTGCTGCTTTTAGCAGGTAATATTTGTAGTGAAAATTTGCCGGTTGGAAACTACAAGCATCATTTTTTTAGGGGTGAGTCAAATCGTTGCTGATGGAACTGAAGAAAAAGAGGATGTGAAGACAATTGACTTGGATTTAGGTTCATTTAAAGAAGGTTCCAGAACAGGTAAAGCAAACATTCTTTTATTGCATAATTGAAATATCCGATTATAACTAAACAATTGTTTTCGTTAATATAGATTCTGACGCCGTTCATAGGGAGGAAGAGGCGATCAAATTGGATGGACTTAATGTGGCACAAATGAAACAAATTAGGGAAAAGGTAAGCATTTTGATAAAGTAAATTTTTTTACACTTTAAATCAGTGAAGAGTTGTGTTATTTACTTTGATGTTTGGGTTCACAACCTTAAGGCGTTGCTTGCCATAAATATTTGATTATGTGTCCGCTTAGAAAAATTTATTATATATTTTGTTTACGCCCCTTCTCTACAAACACATTGCATTCATTCAAGAATTTAAAATATAATTTATATTTAAATTTCTGTTCAATCTAAAAATAAATAACAATGACTTGCTTGAAATATACAATGTGTAGTGAAACCATATATTCAATTTGGACACTAATCTCTCAGATCTTCTAGTGTACTAGTGAGAATAATAACACAACTGCTGGTATAGTTTTGACCCATGTATTCATAATATAGTTCTATAACAATATTTAATAATAATACTGAATAATTAAACCAATTTAATTTAATTGTGCAGGCTGAGAAATTTGCTTTCCAAACAGAGGTCAATCGCATGATGAAACTCATTATTAACTCATTATATCGCAATAAGGAAATCTTTTTACGTGAGTTAATATCCAACGCTTCCGATGCTATTGACAAAATTCGTTTGCTCGCGCTTACTAACAAAGGCGAATTGGAGTCAAATCCGGAACTAAATATACGCATAAAGGCTGATAAAGAAAACAAAGTGCTGCATATAATGGATACTGGTATTGGCATGACACACCAGGATCTTATCAATAATCTTGGTACAATTGCTAAATCCGGCACAGCTGATTTCTTGGCAAAAATGCAAGATCCTTCTAAAGCGGACGGTCAAGATTTAAACGATATGATTGGGCAATTTGGTGTTGGTTTCTATTCTGCCTTCTTGGTAGCTGATCGTGTTGTAGTCACTACAAAACACAATAACGATAAACAGTACATTTGGGAATCAGATGCTAATAGCTTTAGTATTGTTGAAGATCCACGTGGAGACACTTTAAAACGTGGTTCAATTATCTCATTGCACCTTAAAAATGAAGCTCAAGATTTTCTTGAAGAAGATACCGTCCGTGAACTAATCCGTAAATACTCACAATTTATTAATTTCCCCATAAAGATGTGGTCAAGTAAAAATGTTGATGAGGAAGTACCAATTGAAGAAGAAGTTACTGAAAAACCTGAAACTGAAAGTGATGAAGATCCCATTGAAGATGGCGAAGATGCTAAAGTAGAAGAGGATACAGAGGATTCTGACAAACCAAAAACTAAGAAGGTAACAAAAACAATTTGGGACTGGCAATTGATAAATGACAGTAAACCAATTTGGACACGTAAACCGGCTGAAGTCACAAATGAAGAGTACAATGAATTCTATAAGAGTCTCACTAAAGATTCTACTGAACCATTGACACAGACTCATTTTGTTGCCGAAGGTGAAGTTACATTTAAGAGTTTATTATATATACCAAAAGTGCAGCCATCTGAATCATTTAACCGTTACGGTACCAAGTCCGATAATATTAAATTGTACGTGCGTCGTGTTTTCATCACCGATGAGTTCAACGATATGATGCCCAATTACCTCAACTTTATTCGTGGTGTTGTTGACTCTGATGATTTGCCCTTGAACGTATCGCGTGAAACCTTACAACAGCACAAACTCATCAAAGTAATTAAGAAGAAATTGGTACGTAAAGTATTGGACATGATCAAGAAAATTGATAAGGAAGCCTATGAGAAACTCTGGAAGGAATATTCCACAAAGTAAGTTCACTCATTTAAAAAATATGTACAAATCTTAATGAATTCATTCATTTTAGCATTAAACTTGGCATTATGGAAGATCCAAGTAATCGTTCACGTTTAGCTAAGCTGCTACGTTTCCAATCTTCTAATGGCAAATCTGTAACTTCCCTCGCTGAATACGTGGAACGTATGAAGCCTAAACAGGAACATATCTATTTCATTGCTGGTGCAAATCGCGCAGAAGTCGAAAACTCACCTTTCGTTGAACGTTTACTTGCTAAGGGTTACGAAGTTTTGTATTTGGTTGAAGCCGTTGATGAATACTGTATTTCAGCATTGCCTGAATTTGATGGAAAAAAATTCCAGAATGTAGCTAAAGAGGGCTTCCAATTGAACGAATCAGAGAAGAGCAAAGGCAAATTTGAAGAATTGAAAACAACATTTGAGCCACTTGTAAAATGGTTGAATGATGTTGCACTTAAGGATAAGATCTCAAAAGCTCAAGTATCTGAACGTTTAAGCAATTCACCATGCGCTCTGGTAGCTGGTATGTTTGGTTGGACTGGTAATATGGAACGTTTGGCTATGTCCAATGCTCATCAGAAATCAGATGATCCTCAGAGAAGTTACTATTTGAATCAAAAGAAAACACTTGAAATTAATCCAAGACATCCATTGATACGTGAACTGTTGCGACGGGTAGAGGCAAATGAAGCTGATGAGAGCGCACAAGATATGGCACTGATGATGTTCCGCACAGCAACTTTAAGATCTGGATTTATGTTACAAGAAACTGCCGACTTTGCTGACAGCATTGAAAGAATGATGAGACAAACCCTTGGTGTATCGTTAGATGAAGAAATACAAGAGCTCGATGACGAAGATGATTCAAATGAGAGTTCTGAAAGCGATAAAACAGATGAAGGAGATAATGATGCTAATGCAGAAGAAGATGAACATCACGATGAATTGTAAGAGCGGAACTTCCCAAGTTCATAGTTTGTAAATAATTTCACATAAGATCAGACTGAATTATTCTTTCTTTAATAATATAATTATTTTTATTTTCTTTATAATTTAATTAAGTTTACAGCATTTAACTTAAACATTCTTTTCTGTCACTGCTTACGGTTTAGTGACGTATTATATACTCTTATGTATGAAATTATTGTAAATAGCAAATTTCTATATTATGAAAAGTGCTATTATCTATTGAATTTAATTTTATATTTTGTATTTTTTTATAAAGTAAAAGTTTGTTAAGAATTCGTTCTTCATCTGCAATAGATAAATAATAATAAAACAGACTTTATGTCTAATATATTTCTAAGTAGTAGCTGTTTTTAATTTAAGCCATTCAAGTTTATTTTAATCATTAATAGATTACGACGAAATGATAATCGCCCAATTCAGGTTCAAGTTCAATTTAATTAATAATGATAATGAATTGGAAATATATATTTATAATATATGAAAATATATATGCTATACAGTGTTAACGTATCAATTTCAGATAGTATAATAATTACAATGGAATTAATTCATTATTTTCTTAGAAAATTTAACTTCATTTTTTATGGTTTATCTGATGAAAAAAAATTATTGAATAGTCTAATTATTTATTTATGCTAAGATCATAAATCTCGTAATGCTTTAGTTTTGTGTCTCAAAATGAAATTGCATATGTTTGATTTCTCTTATCAAACTAGCTTTTTTAGGTTACTCCACTTTCTTGGAACCTTATTTGTTAAGAGAGTAAATTCAAGACAAAATTTGTTAATATTACTATAAATATCTGAAATCCTCTCTCGAAAATAATTACTCAATACGGACCTGCTCTATTATTTTTGAAGATTTCGTTGCTATGATATTGTTTTAGGACAATCATATCTCCCATTCGAAGCGGTCAGAAGGTGATGTCAACCATATACATTATAGTTCATAAAAACAAAAGGATTTCTCCATTCAAAATAAACGAATATTACATTTACCATAATACTCTTCACTATAAGAACATGGTTCGAATTAAATATGCCAGAGTCTTCAGATATTGGCGATTGTATATTTTTTTTGTGTCAGCCATACAGAAAGTAGTCCGTTGAGAAGATTAGAATCTTTAATTAATTAAGTATTGAAGCATATCCATTCTTCTGCTAAATGGATTATTCATAATATTATCTAATGCGTTATTTTCTATAATTTTAAAATGATTGATTGTTGATTTTTCCGAAAACCACACACAAGCTTAGCTTGATTATTCGAAAATGAACACTCTATATTCGCGTCTTCTCAAAGAGTTGTTGTTCGTGCACTAGATAGATGGACTCCTACTTTAAAGTGGTTCATCGGGTCTGGTCTACAGACGATGTCTCATCCGTATAAACAAAGCGGGACATTAGTTGTGATTAAGTGAACTTCGATACACAAGGCTACCACCATAACCGAACTTCATTCCGTTTCGGATATTAAGTTTTCTAGAACTAAACAGTGGTCCCAGTCGTTGCTTAATGTTGGTACACTTTCTTTATTGCCATAGTGTTCTGTTATTAAATCTGAGATTTTTATACCAGTTATAAATATTCCTCGGTGTTTTTAAAACTTTTCAACCCAATTTTCCGTCTTAAGTTATTGGAGTTTGAATTATTAAAAAAAGCCTAGTTTTTTTTTCAATGGATAATCGAGTGAATAAAAAAAATATATTATTTAATTCTTTTATAATTATAAATTTTTTTTAGATACACGGCATGTTTTACATGCTAAGATCATATTTTGCGATACGTACATGGGTATCGTAATACCCATTAAGTTCTAGAACAGAACAATAGATACTCCACAACATTATTATAACTAGAACGTGCACCATTGCTTAGTTTAAGAACAAGTGAGAATTGTTATCTACACTCTATATCCTTTCAAAATATGTCGGGTTAGGTATAACCTAGGTCTTTCAAGTATATATCTAAATATTTTTTGTTCTCTTGTGCAAACACTGAACCTATTAAGATCAGTTATCTTAGGCCTGATAACAAAATTTTTCAACTAAATTCTGACTATATTCTTCAACTATTCACATTCCTTCATAATTAATTTCCTTATTGATTCATGAATTTTTTTATATATAATATTATTTTATAAATTATACTTATGTACTATCAATAATAATATATACCATACTGTTGATCTCTTACACATCTGACTTAAGCAATTTAATCAAATATATTCATAATAAAGTTAAGACAGTTGTGCTGAAAATAGATTAGAATTATTCATAAATAGCTTTTAAGTGGTTCGTTATTGACAGAAAGATTCTACGTCATATACTCCCAAACAATGACATACAATCGTTGAAACAATTCGGAACTAATCTTTTTAATTAACTTACAGCTTGTGCTTAGCATAGGTCAAGTTCAGTAGAACATTATTCTGGTTTAGTAGACTGACATGTGGATGAATTTAATGGCTCATCCACAAAGTAGCTTTGTCAACTTGTGGGCACTGATACTTGCAAAGATAATGAACATAATGATCTTTGACAGATTTGCGCTCATGAAGATAAGTGTTCGTATAAGACCTTCAAACGGCGAACATAAGATTTGTAAAAGCTAATTTTGATTTGTGCTCAGTTAGTTAGAATTTGACTCTTAGAGGTGCTAGATGATTCTAGAATTTGTGTTGCTCTGTGTCTAGATTACTTTAGTTATATCGTTCGGAAAGCCGTTTAAATCAGTCATTTATCACATTAGAAAGTAAAAGTGCATTCAGTGATGAAGTCACGTGTGCTTGTATTACTGCTCTCAGTACATGTAGTGT